GAATATATATATATATATATATATATATATATATATATATATATATATATAAAGTATAATAAACCAGCATCACTACTTCTCAGAGTGAAACTTTACATCTTCAAATTCAAAAGTTCAAGAAATGAAAAAATAATCGATTTCTGCTTCAAAAGATGTGAAACGATCGACCGACGAGACTATTCATGTGTTTATATATTCATGTATTCATATATTTACACTGTTAGTACTGTCCTTAAGTACACCGTTGACATACTTGTACTTTACTTTAGTATTTACACTTCTACTCTACTACGATTGAAAATGCAAAGTTTAATTTGTTAGTATTTATATACTAATCTACTACAATAGTACACAAAGTATATGTAATTAGACTTCGACAAACATTTAAATATATATATATTAACTAGTGACAATAAATGAATAACAATAACGAGTACTTGTGTTACTTTAAGTACATTTAGCTGATAATACTTTAGTACTTCTTCTTTCTCTGGTCCTGACCCTCATAACCCTGGACCCTCACCGGGTCTCTTCCCTCAGGTTGAGAACCCGTGTTGATGTGATGATGCAGGTTAAACTCCAACACACACACACACACACACACACAGAGAGCCTGGCTCAGCGGCACTGAGGCAGCGGATATGAGTTATATGACGTGTGTTCACTAACCCGGGTTAGTGAACAGGGTAACCCGGGTTAGTAAACAGGGTAACCCGGGTTAGTGAACAGGGTAACAGCAGTCTAAACAGCCGGATGAAAACATTCTGTGATGCTAACGTTAGCCTGTTAGCTCGCTGCTCGTCTGACGGACACCTCTCCTCCTCTCCGCCGCCGACCTGACCTCCATCCCGGGTTAGTTGTGTGTGGAAGTCCGCCTTAGCTACGGAGGAAATATAAAGCTAACAGCGCTAGCAACAGCAGCAGCTAAAGTACCAGACTTAGCTAAATAAGTTGGTGACGTATTCCCGCTAAACCCCGCTCCACGGAGACAGGCCGGGGCACAAATCAACGCACTTTTTACTTCAATAAAAACACACAACAGAAGTCGGTGTGCGGTGGTCGGAAGCGGCGGAGCTTTAACGGGAGGATGAAATGTAAAAAAAACAAAAAAAACACTTACAGTCTCTCCTCTCCGCTCTCCACGGCGGCCATTTTTATTTAAATAAATAATTTTATATTTAAAAAAAAAAGAGCCTCCAAACATCTCTGCTGCACCCCGCCCCCTCCGACTCCATTTCCAAACGCCGTCAGTCGGCCAAACATCGCGAGATCTGCCTGAAGATGAGGTCAACAACACCCACCAAACAGCACGAGCGCAGGGGCGGAGTAAGTCTCACGAGATGTGAACTCCTCGGTCACACTGAGGCGTTCAGGGACTCGATCTGAGATCTGTAAAAAATAAAACTGAACTGAAATTAACTTTAAAGAATCTGTTTCTGCTTTATTAACTATTAACTACTTCAAGAAAAACACATAATGAAAACAGTGAATCAGAAAGGGCTAATGAAACAAAATAATAAAAATAAATGAAAATAATAAAATATAAACTAAAATATTTACCAAATTTATGACAAATAGAGTAAAGAATTAAATTAAAAAATATGAACTGACACAACAACACAAAACAAATGATGGTGGGGCAGAATTAAATATCACTACAGTGATCATGTTTATTATTAACATCTGGACAGTTTGAGTGTCTCTGATGCTTTTATTTTGTAGAAAGTCTCTTTACTAACAGATGTGCTTTAGTTTAGTAGATGTTCCAACAAAACTCTTCAACGGTTCAACTGAAAGAGATCAAGAAGAAGAAGAGAAAGGTTAGTCCAGAGTTAATATCAGCTGATCACAGTTTAACCAGTGGCGGGCCGTCAGGGCCTTCAAGGCCTTCTCTGCTGGCCTAAACAGAATTACAAAGTTATAGCTATTTTATAATTATATAATTTTTCTTAAATACACTACATGTATTATAATTTATAAAAATATTTCCCCATTATCTTATTTTCTCATTGCACAGCTACTGTCTTCCTCAAACTCTCTCTCTCTCTATATTTAATTTATATTTAATTTTATTTATCCATGTATTCATTTATTTATTCATCTATTTTTCTTTTTCTTTCTTTCTTTCTTTCCTTTTTTCTTTTGAAACGTATTTTCATATTTCATATTCAGAGGAAGTGTATCGTTCTGTTCATAGGCAATGTAAGCAGTAAATTACATGAACTGTTTACAAAAGTATAAGAAGTCAAAGCAAACAGACATCAGCTGATCTTCACTCTTTATTTCAGGTAAAGTTCAGACGGACTCAGAATCTCAAGAGGATTTTTTGGGGGATTAAAAAGCCCTTAATGGTGAGAAACTGTCCGGACTGATGGGAAGTAGAAAAAAAGAAAAGATGACGGAGATACAAAGACAGAAACGTCAGAGAAGCGTCTCTGTGAGACTAAAAAAGATCTCTTCAGTCCATCGTCTTCATTTATGAGAATAAAGATACATCAAATATTTAAACACAATGTTTAACAGAATTAAAAACACATCAGAGGTCCAGAAGCTCACAGATTCACAGTGAAAACACATGTCACTGTTGACTTCCATCTTAATTTAACATGATTATGTAACTGATGATAATTTATCCCTAATCCTAACCACCACCATCCTACGTCCTACTAAACCACCACCATCCTACATCCTGCTAAACTACCACCATTCTACGTCCTGCTAAACCACCACCATCCTACGTCCTGCTAAACCACCACCATCCTACATCCTGCTAAACCACCACCATTCTACGCCCTGCTGAACCACCACCATCCGGGTGAAATACAAAGTTTCTTCGGGAGTCCGTGTCTTCAAAGTGCTTCACTTTGAAGACAGAGGATGTCGTTTCTAAAGCTAATTAGTTACAGCACAATGCTAATCTTTGTGTAGCTTGTTAGCGGAAACCACATTGGAACCAGGAGACAAAAGCTTTTTTCAAAGCTTCATGTGTTAAAGCTGCATTCTCTCTAGTGTCCACCAGGGGTGACTCCTCTGGTTGTATAGAAGTCTATGAGAAAATGACTCTACTTCTCTCTTGATTTATTACCTCAGTAAACATTGTAAACATGAGTTTATGGTCTCAATCTCTAGTTTCAAGTCTTCTTCAATACAGCATGATGTTCATTTAGTACATTATGGTCCATTTAGAGTCACACAGACCATAAAGCAGGGGATGCTTTAGTGCGGGGCTACACGCTGATTGACAGGTCTCTACCAGTGACGTATACAGCATCTCTACGTCACTCCTCCTCAGTCCAGATATGGTCACTTCCTGTTCACTGATCACAAAAAAAAACAAGATGGCGATGGACAAAAGTGTGAAAAAACTCGAGGCTTCAAACTGTCCACAAACCGATGAGAGACGTCATGGCGACTACGTCCTCTTCTTATATTCAGTTTGTGGTCTGAACTCAGTGCTCAGTTATCCATCAATGTTTGGTCGCTGCTGTTAACTCACAGTGTAAGCTAACGCTGAACAACAGCTAACGGTTAATACTTTGATGTATTTGGTATGGGTGTATTTTTCCCTTTTGATGTAGCTAAGCTAGCTCAAAGCTAATCTTTGTGTTACTACCTGGAAATGCTTTGAATTATAAATTACAAAATGACAACACAACCTATATAACTGCCAACAATGCATTGTGGGTAAAGTGTGAATCTGTGCAGCTTAGCGGCGTTCACCACGTTAACGAGCCAATGAGACGCGACCCTCTGCTGGCGGCCATCTTCATCCTTTTTTCCCAAATGTCATCAGTCAGTGTTAATTGTATTAAGCTCCGCCCTCCTCTCTGTCCTGGCCCCCTTATTGGTTCAATGTCCTGTGAATCACTGATGTCTATCTCAGTCTCGTCTCTGATTGGTTCCGAGCATTAGCCCATCAGAATGATGTCACACAGGTCATCTCGTCGGCCAGCTCGTCCTCGTCGCGGCCCGTCTTCATTGGCTCCTCGTCGCTGTAGAGTGCGGCGGAGTTGGCGGCATCGCTGTTGAGCAAACCGTGGCTCCCGGTGCCGAGGAGGTCGCTGGCGGCCGACTCCATCTCGTCCACCGTCATGTGACACGCATCAGCGATCTCCCGCTTCGCGAACGCCACGAACTTGGGATCCCGAGCGTAAAGACCGAGACCCTCCGAGATCAGAACCTGTAGAGACCAGCACAGAGAATCAGGGACTGTAGGTCGTCTTTAAGTTACCAATCAATGTCAGTGATCGTTCAATGTCTCCTCACCGCCTCCACCAGACTGTCTGCTGATCCTCGCTTCTCCGTCAGCTGAGCGCCGAGCTGTGAGGGAACTCTGAGGGTGGTGTAGGCTCTGTAGGGGAGAGGAGCTACAACCACAGTCACATGACACGTTCAGATACATGACGACGACAACAGAAAACAGCTGTCCAAGATCACATAACTTTACTAGTATATAGTATACTATGTATTCATTCAGTATGTACTGCATACTAATGTACGAAATACTACACACTCAATCAGTAAGTACTGCATACTAACATACTAAATACTACACACTCAATCAGTAAGTACTGCATACTAACATACTAAATACTACAGACTCACTCAATATGTACTGCATACTAATGTATTGAATACTACACACTCACTCAGTATGTACTGCATACTAATGTACTGAATACT